AAAGATATGCTACAGGGGTATAGAGATTTCACTATTTGATTGCTAAGCAAAATTAATTACTATTTTATATTAACTGAATTTATTGCCTGGTTTAAGAACTCCCTGAAGACTCCCTATCCAGTAACAATTTCCAAGGCAATATTGATGTTGTAAGTTTAAAGCTTTACCATGAAATGCAAATTATCATAATTGTACATAATTACCTGAGTAAATGTTTAGCTGGTACTGCAATATTCAAAAATTAATGATGTTTTTATTTCTAATCTGATCATCAGACATATAAAAGTTTTGTTGCTGTTGTTTTCTTCATTTGAATTACCATGGACTACTGCCATGCTTTGATGATCACATCAACAGCAAAAATACACCCTACGTAACTCAAGACAAATGACAGGCCATACGTCCCCTGACCGAACACCTAAATGTGGAAAAGTTAGCTCAAGTAGCTTCCAGTTAAATTTTATGAAGTGACATAATACATAAAACTTTGGATACTACTGAATTTTTGTCAAAATATATCTATTTACATGGAATAATCAGCTTTTTTTTAGTATCTTCATACTTAAAGTACAGAAAAAAATGTGAACTATAAATCTCCCATTAACATAGTGAATGACATAAATGCATAACTCTAAGGGGCTAAAAAACAAGATTTTAAACTTCTAGTGCCATCAGAATTATAATTATCTCTGTTTTGCATGGATAAGTCAGTAGAAAAGTATAATTGCTAGTAACAATAAAATGTTTCATTTTTCCATATACAATGATAAAACTGTTAAATGCAATGTTCAGAAATTTTTGTTTCACTCCATGTTATATCCTGATTGAAAAAAAGAGAATGGTTCAGCGATTTCCTTTGTTCCTTAAATGAGTGCATGACTACCAATACACAGCAAATATACTTCAAAAAATATATTGACTAAAGCAAACCATATGGGAGACACTAACACAATACAAAACTTCCTACATTTAATGGAGGGAAAAAAGAACATGGAAACTAAGTAAAAACACTCACATAACATTATACTGTCTATAAAAACATATCTAACAGCATTTCAGAATTTCACTTTGTGTTAGTATTCTATTATACAGTTACCTAATGTAAAAGAAAGGAAACAAAACAATTTGCAAACTATTCCACCATGAAATTGGCTCTATTTATATGATATAAATACTTAGGAGATATGAAACAAAATTGCTTTGCATATCCCTCTTTTATATTTTAAATTACAAAACAAAAAAATTACTTGTGAATTGAGGACATGAAAATTTGCTTCATATGGATGCTGACAACACAAGCCAACCATGATTTTCTAATTGTTAGGAAAAAGAAATTGCAAAACAAGTGTTTACAATTAATTTCTGAACAGTAATAAATAACTACATTCAAGTGTATCAGAGTGACATTTAGATTAACTGCTCTCAGAAAAAGTGGAGAAAACTTAATTTATAGTCGAAGAAACAGTCATCCTCTTGAATGAAACCAGGACGAGCGATCAGCAGGAAGAACATTTAGTTTCTGATATTTTACAACCCTATATTTTTAAGGAGTTTTACTAAAAAAAAAATCCCACTATGTTTATTTACAGAAACAACCCATCAGAGCATTATTTTTCCATCTTGAGATATAGTCAAAACTGCCAGGTCAGGGTGACGCCAAACGTAGGCACAGACTGTGGGAAAGAAGAACACATCAAGAGCAGCCCCTGCAGAGAGGGACTCCGGGGTGCTGGTAGACAAAAATGGGCTGACACCATCCACTTGCAGCCCAAAGGGTCAACCACATCCTGGGCTACACTCAAAGCACCACGAGCAGCAGGATGATGGAGGTGACTATTTCCCTCTACTCCGCCCCTGTGAGATTCCATCTTGAAAACTGCACCCAGGTCTGGAGTCTTCAAGACAAGAAAGAGATGGAACACTCCCAGAGGAAAACCACTAAACTGATCATAGTGCTGGAGCACCACTCCTATGACAACAGGCTGAGAGAGGAGCTGTTCAGCCTGGAGAAGGAAAGGAAGATCTCCAGGAAGATCTCATTGAAGCCCTTAAGTACTTAAAGGAAGCTCATAAGAAAGATGGAGGCTGACTCTTCAGGCTGGCAGACAGTGATATAAGGGGAACCAGTCTTATTCTAAAAGAGGAGAGGTTCCAGCACCTGAGCAGAGTCTTACCATGTTGGGAACACAGCTCTGGCACAAGCTGTGGGAGAGGAGACGTCCCCACTATTGACAATGACCACCCAACACCACCTTAATCCTCTCTGCTCCATTGTAGGGTAACAGCAGCAGTCCTCTCATGTGCAGAGACAACAGGCCTGACTACTTCTGGCTCACTGGAGCAACCAGCTGGGGAACAGGCTGTGCGAGAGAAAAATGCCCCAGAGTCTGTACTACCTCTCACTTCTACTGTGTAGCTCAGGTTAAGGACTTATCCAACATCACAGGCATCAAATCATTTAACGATCACCTCAAATCCCTTCTCAGAAAGCAAGGACAATGTCAACACCATCAGGCATGCTTAGCACCTGTCTTTTTTCAAGTTTAAAAGCTGCTAGAATTCCTTACTGAGGTGCAGGAGCTTCTTCAGGTCTGAAGGGAAAAAACAGCATAAGCAGCAGAATCAACAGGGTCCAGTGCAGGCTGCAGTAGATCACGACCATCTCCTTCCTGAGGCAACAGGTGCTGATCCCAAGGCAGCCTCAGTACCAATGGCCTGCGTGTAAATGCTGTATCCTGTACATGTAAATGCTGAACTTGACCTAGCTGTGCAAATAAACATGCCTGTTTTCAGTCCCATTCAGTCTCCTGTACAAGACAAGGACTTCCATATCTGGCACCCAAAAATAAGAGTGCATGTCCAAGAGTGGCTTAGCCCTTCTGGCAAGCTTTGCCTTGAAGCAAGGAAAGTGGTAATTCTGCACAATTAATTCTTCTGATGAATCTTCACATATCACACTTCATGACAGGTCGTCTCTTCAAGGTAGCTTGAATAATCTGCATTATTTTCATAAAAGGTGAAGGCACTCTGAACTCTCAGATAACACAGGCCAGATGGAACTGCATAAACTAGAGCAAGTTACTTAAAGTACACAAACCATGTTAAAAATGAATGTTAACATTATCTCTGGCATACCAATGCATACCTGATTTATTTTTTGAAGTTGCCTTAACAGTAAATTTTACCTACTGGTTTAAAAAAATAAAACAACAAAAATCAACATTATCCTATTTCAGCTTACACAACATCACCTTAAATATTTCTGCCTCCTTCTGTACCAACTTCCTGATTCCGTTTTACCTTCTCCCTGAGAAGCTGACCACACTGCCTCTCATCATTAGGCCCCTTTCTAATTGCTCTCATAGCTTTTCTCTGCAACCTTGCATTGAGTTAAAGTGGCAAGATTTTGTAAATGGTGCATCCTGCTGTAGTGGAAGGTGTTGAAAGGGGTTGGAACTAGGCAATCTTGGAAGTCCCTTCCAACCCAAATCATCCTATGGCTCTGTTCTCCCTTCCCTGCCCTCCTGCAGAGGCCACTGTGCCCTGAGCACAGAATCAGCCACCCTGTGCCATCTGCCCTGGGGCACAGCGCGCCCATCAGCAGCTGCACTGGAGGTGATGAGCCCTCTCACCTTGAAGGTGACACTGGAAGTGACACAGTGCTGGCAGTGATGGAGCTGCTGTGTCTGTCCTGTTGGCCCCGTGTAGGCCTGTGCTCAGCACACAGGATTATTTTCTCCCACTCAATGAAACAGAGGTTTAGACACCAGAAAGCAGACTTCAGTCACCTTGAGCTGAAGGGGAAGAGTACCACTCTTATGACTAGACTCATCATCTCAACTAATACTAGCAGACACTAATCACTAACACTACTACAGGATATGGCATTAAGTAACTAACAAGATAGCCTGCACCAAAAAGACTCCAAGCCTCCTAATCTTTTGCAATCATTATCCTGATCCTTCCTTTCTCTTCATCTTTTTGTACTTCTTTAAACTCCTTCTAGGTCACGACAAGCATACAAGCTTTGTAAAATAATGTTTTGTACCAGTGTAAATGAGAACCATCTCATAGTGCCTTGTAAATATTAAACAGTAGTGGAAAAAGAGAATGCTGACAATCAAGTATATTTGTAGAATGGGAATCAAACGGTTCCACAAATAGACAGAGGAAGAAAAACATCTCTCCCCTCAGAAATAACTACTTAATTATCATTTCACAGAGCTACTGCCCCATGGGCCAAAAAGAATGTGAGGCTAAACCTCAAAGAAAAAAAGTCACTAAATATCTCCAACATGTCAAAACTAACCCACAAAGGCAAAAACTGTTTGCCCCTTCAGTAAACAGGTACTGTTTGTTTGCCTTTTTATTTGACCTACAAACTCTGCATACAGATGCACACAACTGAGAGAAGGAAGTCACAGAAAATATCAGCAAAGTAAGGTACTTATTTAAACTATATGAGGTCTCATCAGACAAAAAAAAATCCTTTTAATTATTAAGAGCATGTAAACACCTAAAAATAAGTTGTAAGGAAACCAATGTTCATTTCTGTTTGAGACGAGTAATTACAGTACATAACATTAATTTTTCTCAATTAGATAACATGTGCAGCAATTCCAAGAGCTTTTGCTGTTAATTTTCTACCTACAACTGTAAATTTATTTCTTCAACACAGCCAAGTAAATTACCAACAGCTATGCAGTCACATATACTAAATCTATGTAAGGGTTAAGACTTTTCTTTGTTAAACAGTGTAATGAAAATCTAAGCATCAAGTGTAGAGAAGACGAATCCAAGTCCTCACAGACAGATTGTTATGCATTACTGACACTTAAAAACAAAAAATATCATGCAACTGAACTTCTTGTCCAAACAAGTCCCCAGAAATGCAAAGTGAAGCCCATTCACTTGAAATCACCTCAGCTTGACACTCTGATCCCAGGTCTGAAGTACAATGGCAGGGCTACACAATTCAGTAAAACAGATGTAAAACTTACCATAGAAGTCACTGATCTGGCATCTTCTTCGTAATTCACTACAGGTGGTGGCTCTTTCCCATCATTCTCTTGAACCTTTTGTTCCAGTAGTTCTTTCTGTGCTGCAAATTTTGCCTCAGAGCATCTCAATTGCTGGACTGTTTGCTTAAGTTCTTCAAGCGCTTGCTTTTGGCTCAGCAAGAGTACAATGCTGCAAAGAATAATAAAAATTTAACAATGTACATGAATCAAAATAGTCTATTTGCTTCATAAAATCTGGGGAGAAGAAAGCATGACAACTCCTCAACATAATCATTTATTCAAAGATGAAGCAATTCTAGAAAATTTTCAAAGCAACAAGACAATAAAAGCAGACACTCATTCTCTCTCTCTATCACAAAAAATAATGTTTAATAAATATAGGTAGAACTCCTGTTTTCATCCACTTTTGACTGAATTGATAAACACTGGGGCTCCCCCTCCCTTGGAGAATAAGTAAATTTTAGATAATGATTTGAAGTGATGAAAAATTCACTTTAATCAGTGTAGTTGTTGCAGTAATAATTTGCAATATTAAACTCCCCTCACATCCAGTATGCATTCATATGGCATCACATAAGAGGTATCTGTTTTTTCCTCTGCACTGTAAGTATTTCTGGACTGGGTTATAACTGTCTTATGAAGCTAAATAAACGTATCCTTATGAGGAACTAAAAGCAACTTTTCATCTTCTGCTTATTTTTATAGTTCTTCTCTGAATACCACTTATAGTCGTGAATACTTGAGACAGTTGAGATTAAATCATATTGAAGGACACGCATATAGAGTATCTGCAGGTACCCAGTTGACTCTATCGTCCCAAACAACTACCAAAACCAAAGACTGACAGAAGCTGCCTAAGAGACACTATCACTCACAGTATAATACAGACACCCTTATAAGCACTCAACCAGTGCCCAGTAATATGTGGTCTACAGGAGATGCTGAGTTCTCGCAGTCTACAAGAATAGATGAAGGAGGTGAATGGACCAGAACTATGAAGAATGAGGACTGTATGAAGAAAAATCACAGTATTGTGTTATTCTGTATCTTCAGGATAACCCCTTGAAGACAAGCCCTCTGCAAGCCCTACCCTTGAAGAAAAAAATAAAGGCAAAAGTAGTTCATGCAGGGATTGATCCTTCACAAAGTGATGCTCAGTCAAATGGGTACTCAAATGGGTTTCAAATAACAGGGGAACCATATGTCATAAACTCCTCTTTGACAGGAAAATATACAAATTGTATTGATACAGGTGAATACTGTAATATACATTACTGTATTGATACAGGTGAATACAGTAATAAGCAAAACTCCTCACTATCAGCAAAATCATTGTTCATCCAAAAACACTAAGTGTGAGGTATGCAGACACAATTCTCAAATCTGAAACTGAGATTTGGCATAGACTTATGCACATATTTAAATGCATCAGAGAAGCAAATGAACAACTATTCTGAAGTCATCCTGAAGATAATGTGTTTTCATCTGGTCTCCTTTATGAGGGAAAAGGACATCACCATGTGAAAACAACAGGTTTCAACCATCAGCAAGGCTTTACGTGAATACACACTGGCTGGGGTAACATCCCCAAACACAGAATGGTTTCAACTAAACAGGACACAGCAATAACATGACATAATAATACCCTGAAAAGTCACTCATAAGCTAGTCTCTTTCTGAACTGTGGCAATATGGATTACAATCTGATTTGGTTTCCCAAATCCAACTTTCAGTGCTTGCCATTCCAGTCATGCATGAGGAATTACAATCTATAAAATAATTTGCCTGTGGCTTGCATGAGTGCAAACTGCAAAGTTCTTATTGCTAGTAATAGCTACAAGCAACTTCACAGAGTGACATCTTTTTTGAAGGATCCCCGCAAATCACAGCTACATGTGAGAAAGTGGTAAAAAGGTGTACTAAACCAAAACCTAAATATTCAATACGCTATCATGTTTTAAGGGCAGTTGGTATGCTTGACATATACATATATAAATAAAATACAATTAAAACATTTTCTGTGTTGAAGGTGATATCATCATTTGAAGATGGAAAGGGATAGATATTAGTGTGGGGACAATAGTACCAAGACATTGTCATAAGGTATGACCTTATGCAGTCATTATTAAACCCAATGCTACAGGTGGACAAGTTATTCTGGGGACAGTAAACATCCTGAAATGTCCTGATCAACTCTGCACTGCAGCTAAAAGGTGAAAAGGGAGTTTGCTGGAGGCAGGCATGATCAATCAAATCAGAACAAGGATGACTTCAGGGAAGCCCTCACTGTGCAGCTACACATCTAAGCCAGATTCCCTGCCTTTTAATAAGAGAAACAGGTACTGGTGCAATTTGAACTGAAATCATCTTCTCAATATCACAAACATCTGCTAAAGGATCAGTCACAGAAGCCTTCACATAGTAAGAAACACAGTGAGGGTCTAAACTATTTTCAGGGAGTGATAACTCATAATAAAACGATAGTGAGGGGAAAAAACCCAAACAGCACCCCATTAAACTCAGCTAGTTCAAATATAGTTCATCCTTTAAGTAGCACACAGCAAAGAAGACAGGTCAAGAACCAAAAATTGGAAAACACACTGTGAGTGCATGTGAACTTCAGCACAGAAAGGACACAAAATATCTATTTGAAACACTGACAACAGATATTTAAAGTTTTAGATGATAATTAAATGTTTCATGTGATGGAACAATGTGATACAATGTTTCATGACAAGGTTCCATCAACAAAGAGCATCAAGACTTTTTCAGAAAATGAAACATTACCTAAAGGACTTGCATTCCAATTCACTACTGGTACTGTAAACAAATATTTATTACCAAATTAGTAAGATTTAAGATTGATTGCAACAAGAATCAGAAAAATATCACTACAGACAAAAGGTTTCCTTATCTGTTGTACCGACATCAGTTTAGAAGAGTATGTGAATATTTTTTCTAACCAAAGGAAGAAGAACTAAATACTTAAAGATGTTGTCCAGGAATGATTCTTTATAATAATGTTTTATTTATGGTGCACTAAAACACTCACTAATGTTTCACCCTTGGCATTTACTAAGCAGTAGTACAGGGTATGAGATTTACATACTTTACATTTACACTTCTGTAAAGGAAATGCAAAGAAGAATGAACTTAACCTGACAAGCTGCAAACATATTACTGCATAAGAAAGTCTTGCACAAGGCTCTGAAAGCCTTTCACAGAATTACACCTCCATAAGGAATTCTGCCAAACAGAGGCAACTGAACTCACTCATCTTCTTTGAGCAAGCTGAATTGAATTAATGAAAGGTCCAGCTCTTGAGCCAAAAGCTCTTGCCAAACCACGGAAATTATATTAAACTTATGGAGCTGCACAGCTCTTCAGTGAGTTGGGGTCTGCAGTGGGCAAGGTTTATTTCAGAGACAAGAAATTAACTTACCGTTGTTTTCACAGTAATTCCTAAACACAAAGGCAGAACAAGATTAGTGAAGATTATTTCTTACTTAAGTTTTAGGAATTGCATTATAGACATTTTTCCCCATCAAACTATTGTATTTTGAAATTTAAATTTCAACTTACTCAGATTTCTTTTCACATGTCTTAGATGACTCTTCTATTTTTTTCTCTAGTTCCAAAACAAGTTCCTCTTTGCTCAGAAGGGTTTGCTGCGTTTGCATAAGTTCTTCTATTACTGTTTTTAACCTGTAAACAGATTTCAGAAACCCAGCCTGTGAATGCATAAACTGTGAACATTGTAATCTTTTTCCTGAAGACGTAAAAGAGCAGTATTTTTTAGATTATGTTACTCAGTACTTAGTGACAGTTCTTTTTTTGTGTGGCTGGACCTTCACGTTGCTAATCTGTATTGTTAGAGATTTTGTGTGAGCCTCTGTATACACACAAGGTAACAGAATTATCTCCTGTCTGCAGGTTCTCCTATCAAGAAAATATTTTTCCAGAATATGTGATGAGTTCCATGATTTAATGCCTTCCTAATATATTGCTACTTTGTGAGATGCTTTAAGAAAGACAAAAGCTTTCTGACTCACAAAACGTGTTAAATAAATACACAGAATCAGTAGCTGGGTTGTATTTACTTCTAGAAATAGCAAAAGTACAAATGATCACTTTCTGTTGTAATTGTGATTGTATCTTTCTTTACAATTATCCTTTTCAGGTTACAATCTCTGGTAATGGTTAATTAAAAGTAAAGTACAAAACCATTCAATACTAACAGAGAAGGGGTATAACACTTTAAAACTATTACTAACAATTCATAATTATATTGGTAAATACTCCAATAACAAAAAAAGTTCCGTGAACATACAACACCATTTGCATTCTAAACAATGCATGTAAATGGCTTACATAATGACAACTTCTAAAATGTGTATCAATCAAGATTGTCAAATCAGAACAATCTCTTAAGGATAAATAAGCATATACATCTTGTTTCCTTTTTGTCATTTATCTATACATCTTTAACTATCTTAATTTATTTTCCCTATATTTTCAAGCCCAATTTCAGTAAAATTACTGAAGTAAAAAGTGGAACACAAGCAAAATATATGTAGCAATTACCATTGCACAGATCTACTGCCCAAAACCATTCCAGACCAGGGAGTGGTACACCCAACCCTCTAAATATCTAGGAGGCCTATTCCACACGTCCATATATGCCAAACTGAGTTACTTGATTCTAGACACTGAATCAAGTCCTCACTTCCCAATATATTTTATACAATGTTGATTATATATGATCTGTACCCAGTCGTGTACTTTACTCTAGAGACTAGAACCACTAAAAAAAAGCCATAGAGTGAATGATGAAGATTTATTTCCCAAAAGATAAAACTTCCACATGTGTTTGAGATAAGATAAATACTTAAAACATTTCCCTCAAAGTAACATCATCACAGCTCTGCTTTCCATATACATTTTATCAGTTTTAGGTTGTCAAAATCTCTATGCTGAACTTCTCTATATTTCCTTATACTGGGTCTCCAACTTATTACCAACTAACTTTTTTATTTTAATACTTTGCTAAAGAAAGTAATTTTTAAAAATTTAACTGCTTTTTAAACAGCTTTCTAAACAAAATTTTAATCAATATTGTATTTGCTTAACAACTGATTTACAGGAAGCACATGTTTTATCTAATGATCCAGCATCAACATTCATGAAATAAAAACGAAACTGATAAGACTTCATCAGTAGAAGGAATGAGTATGCAGATATAACATCTTTATTATTTCACCACTTCAAAAATATTAGATGTTATATTTTATATTGCAATATCAGATTGAAACATTAAGTTGATGTAGTTCTTCTTGAAACTTCTGAGATACTCCAGAAAGATTTTTATTTATCTTAGGGAAAAGAAAAAGAAGCTACCAGGTACACCAAAACTACTTGCTTCCTTGCACTTCACATCTATTCTTTGTTTAAACAATAACTTCCATTCAAACTGGCTACAGCTGACAACTCTGTATCTGTCTTGTATCATCTTGGCCCTTGTTTACCAAAGGAATTTTCTTGTGGTGTTGTATATGCCTTATGGATACAATCAGTTTACAGAAGGGTTACTATGACTTAACAGTTAATCACTGTAACACTTGAAAAATCACATCATGCCTGGAAAGCTTCCTTTTCTATTCCTTTAGTTTTAAGCTCTGTTCTGCTGCAACTATCAATTAAAACAAATGCTTGATCTTAGAGAATTCATATTTCAGAAGAATTGGACATTACTATGCTCATTGATCAGCCTTTAGCTGAGGTTGCTTCCTCTCAGCTTTTAATGCATCTCTTCAAAGCATAAACTCTTACCCTGCTACACTTTTCAGAATTTCTCAGTACTATTCAGTGACATCTATGAATATTAATCAGGAGACACCACAAATCATTCTTTAGAAAGGTTAGCTAGTCAACGCTGACTTTTAACTACCTCCCTTTGTCAAAATTTTATTTATAAATATAAGCTCACCTTAAAATGTAAAAACCAGTTTTCTCATCATGCTCCCTTAAAATACACGTTGTTAAAATGATTAAACAGTTATGTAAGCAAAGCTGTCATTTTTTCATTGCATAGTCAATAAAACAGCTGATTCAACTAAATACTATTGATTATAAATCAATATAAGTCTTTGAATGTTTTAAAAGTTTGTGTAATAAATCCGTTATGTGCATTTATTTTATTTGGTAGATACTGAAGGTAGTTTTCCTCTGCAGAAACATAATGCAGCATTTTAAAGCTCGAAATCCATGACTTTAATGTTGAAGATAAAAAGTCAAATTTCTATTGTTTCATCATGTAAAGCTGACTTTTTAAAAGTCATCAACTATGGATAAATGATGTAGTACACTTCTCTTGCTTGCAAATTTCTCATCATACACAGCTGACAGAAATACAAGTTTTTTGGCTTTAAGTAGCTTTAAGGCAAGATATCTAAAACACAGTTTACAAGAGATATGAGTAAAGACCAAGTTACCAAGAACTATAAAAAAAAAATGAAGCATTCTGACCTGCATTAAAAAGCAAAAGGACAAACAGGATAATAATAAACAGTTTTTACAGTACCATGGGACAGTGGAGCTTCATATATAATCTACACTCTCTACTATATTCATAATAACCCAAATAAAAAGACAGTTTGAAAAGTGACAAAGAATGCTGATCATATAATGTTATTTGAGGTTGGGGGAAGGCTGAATGTGAAAAATAAAAAAGGATTATTCTGGATCTTATGACACTCCATACCGGGGCTGTCACTTCAATACATATGGAAATAGGCAAATATGTAGTGAGGAAAAAATAATCCAAAGCTTTATTTATGTAGAGAATGGAGCATGGATCTAAAATGACCACTACCACTCAGAAATGAAATCTTGGAGATACAGTTGGTGATTCCCTGAAAACACTTGCTTGATGACCTGCTCAGGTCAGAAAATCAAACTGAATGCTTCTCCAGGATTTGTTAAAACCAAAGCAGAGCAAGAACACAGAAAACCTTGGAAGGCCTCCCTCTAAACTCTCTATCTGGATTACCTGTTAAATTCTAGTCATTCATCTCAAAACTAATATAGCAACCTTGAAAATATTCAAATAAAGACAACCAGATGGATAAAGGATGAGTAAGCTTTGTGAAAGGCCAGACTAAAGCTAAAAGATAACTCTGAAAAAGAGATCACAGAACAGAAGTTGAACAGAAATTTACATTATCATAGGCAGAAAGGAACAGATTGTTTGTCTTCTCTTTCAAAACAACAGATTAAGAACCATAAAATGGAAAAAGATAAGAGAAGGTTCACAAAATAGGAAGTTAATTTCTGGAATTCCTTGACCAAAAATTCTATGGACAACAGATACTTTTACACACTGAACCTGATTGAAAAAGATCACAGTAGTAAAGTACTCCCAAGGATATTATAAACTACCTCCACAGCCATTAAAGACATTTGTCTCAAATATTTCAGAGGTTAAAATTATGGGAGGCTAAGGAATTAGCATTATATGATCATCCTGGCTTTGTTCTCCCAACACTTTTTCCCAGTTATCTAACATGGGAATGAAGAAAGTTGAGTGTCTGTCTTTGGTCTGGCCTACCAGGGCTTAACTGTCTTTCTCACAACCCTAAATATATACCAGAAAGTGAACACCTTAATGACAGCAACACGAAAGAGGGCTACCTGATTTGTGTTCCATAAATAATGCTACACCATAAAATTTCTCTAATTTGCAGAACCCTTTCAAGTGGATGAATGGTTTGCAAGAGAATACTATGAAAATTGTACTGAATATATATGTAGGTAAATATACAGACATACATTTATAACAAAATTATATACTTCATCAGAAATGTTAATTAGAAAAGCAAGATTTCATCTCTTTTATTTAGATATGCTGCTGTCATATTTCTAAACAGTTGGATACAAAAGACAAGCCAAAGGCAGAATTTTAGAAAAATTTTAATATTCCATTTAAAAAGGAGGCTTAGTATTTATATATTTCTTGCTGCTGTGCTTAAGTAAATCAAGATGTACAACATCTCAGAGTTCAGGCAGGAATAATCTCAATATAGTAATGATGCAGAATATATTAAAAAGAGAAGCATGTTTAAGGGAATTGGGGGGGTTTAATTATCATGGGATCTTTTCATAAGATAAAGCTTCCTCATGATTAAGAAGGCAGATACTTCATATTAAAAAATATTTCAGTACTTACCAAGGGAATAAATTTACAGAAAGTAATCAAATTATACAGAAAAAAAAGAGAGGATGATTAACAGCCTTAAAAAGGAATTAATAAAATCCCGAGTTTCTGTCATGTTGAGAAAACACGGGGCTGGAGATTAACCTGCAGAAGACACTGCTATATGTTTACATTTGAAAATACTTCACACTAATTTTGGTTTTCAGAAAAGCCTACATAAAATAAAGATCACAGTTTGATTAAGGAAGTGAAATTAAAGAAAATAAAACTAAATGTAAAAATTCCCACAATATGTCATTGATGTCTTATTTGCATCAGTTTTACTTTATAAGGGGAAAATAATTTCAAATAAGTCTCACATGAACTGAAATACAGTAGACACAGCAAAAACATCAACCAATGAAATTCTAAATTTCCCATTTTTAATGCACGATTAACAGTTGACCACAGATGACCACGCAGGACCATTTTATGTCAAAAGTTGAGACCAATAATATACAAATATAATACTCTCAGCAGTCGATTCATTCCCCATAACAAATGATTAAAGGTGAACTTGGTAAAAGTAATGAAACTATTTAACTAGGCAATATATTAAGAAAACACAGAGAGGTAGTTCATCACCCCTTATAGCTAAAAACTGTGAAACACTATACAACTGCTACATCTGTGTTACTAAGTTAATGTACTCTAAAGGTTACAATAATGAATCACAATCTCCTTTAGAAAACAAAAGTGAACACTTAAAAAACAAGATAAATTTATTCATGAAAATTTTCTACACTGTGATTTAAATCACTGATCCCATAACTCTACTCAGTGATTTCATCAAAATATTTTGCTGCTTCTTCTAGGGTAGTGAATGTGGAAACACTTTTGGGAAAATGAACCAGCACCTTCCCAAAGAGGACTCATCATAGATTTGGGGCATTTTATTAACTGGCACAAAGAATTGCATACTTTGAAAATAAGGACAAGTTTTTGAGGAGACTAAGGAGAAGGATTTTGTGCAAAGAACAGTACAACCAGAATGGGAAAGAGTCTGTACCCTGAAAGTACTACACGTAGAAATTGGACCTTAAAAATGGAGACACAGCCATGCAAGGATCTAAGTGAGCATAGATATAACACAGACTAGCATTTCCAAAGGATGAAAGATTTGTAGAGACTTACATGACTTGCAAACTTTCTGCTGTTAAATTATTCCACATGATCTCATTAGCTTGAAGGTTTTCATTTTCTTCTAGTAAAGACGTATCAAACTCTATTTCTTGTTCAACAACTTCTGATGACCTAATTTAGTAAATAATTGTTATCATTTAAAAATCAACATGTATCTTTGAGTGGATCATAGAGCAAATCATTAGGTTTTGAAGTATTTCATTAACTAGATTATAGCTAAAATTATTTATGACATATAAGGATAGATAGCAATTGGATACATATTCTTTTTCCCGTAAAAAAACCATAATTCTAAAGTCTTATGAGATAAAACACACTACAGTTCTTGGAATAAAGTTCACAGCACAATCAAGACTCTCAAAGACTACCAAAGTGAACAGGTGCCTGTTATCTGCTTCCATCACAAACCTGCACATAATGACCACGAATTCACAGATAACCATAACAAGAAGAAAACGAAAGAAATCTTACATCTATTTTTTCATACAGTAAAACAGAGTAATAGTTCAGTAAATGGGAAATACACTTTTTAATACACGCAGAGCATGTGTTATCTGCATGCTCTGAAGTCTCAACCTGCAATAACTGCAGAGTTGACTTTAAACTAGAACAAGTTTAAAGTTCAGCCCAGAATGCAAATTGCATCCAAATAAACAGCAAACTGGCTCACATTGAGTCTAGACTGCAATGTGTAGTCTGCTGTCAGTATCAAAGTCCTGGCTATTCTCATGTAACTGGAAATTTGTTTTTCTAGAACCAGCCAAACAGACTGCTCAGCCAGCTTTCTGTATCTGCAAAGTAAAACAATTTTTAAATGAGGATGAAGTTTTACAAGAAACAAGGTAAAAGGAATCAAACAGAAACAAATTCCTCTGAGCACTTAAACAGTTGGAGTTTAATGCAGGGTTTTCTCAAGAAGAAATATGAGATTAAAATGCTCACCTGTGAGTATCTATGAAGTCATTATACTCAGAGTTAGGGTCTATCTGTTCCACTGAGGTCTGGATCTCTTTATGGACATTCACAATCTCTTCTGTTACAAGACTGGTGATTTCGCTATACTCATCCAAGATCCCTTTTCTAGAAAGGAAAAAAAAGTCTAGTGTATAATATGGCACTGAAGGCACAGATGGCATTGAAGATGCTTCAAATTTTCTATTTGTTGTTTTGACAAAGTCATGTTCCAGATGGCTAAAAAGGGAAAAGTATGACAATATATTATTCAAAGAAACAATCTATCATCTGAGGACTTTCTTCTACAGGCTTAGGCTGGCTCTTAAGACCATGCTCCTTCTGCTGATCTCAGTGCACCAACACACAGCATAGCTAAACTAAAAACTGGAGAGATTACAAGGAAAGGGAATGTATATAGTTCAGAAAGGATGCTCTTCTTCACAGAGGACTTGCCACACTTGTTATAACCCACGCGGAAAGTGAGAAACAACCACTCACATTAAAATTTCAAAGGTTTTCTAAACTTCAACAAACACAACAAAGGACTGAATCAGAAAAAGGGCAGCGCTGGGAGCGTCGTCAACTGCCAGAGGCTCATCCTCAAAATGCCTGCTCCACCTTTTATACCCCTGGAGGTCCCATCAGCCAACCCTGGCCCCTCCCAAAGTCTGTCTGTCAACTCTTCTTCACCATCTGCTGACGGAGTCTGCTTTCTTGTAACCTGACTGAGGTCATGTGTTGTCATGCAACAATATACAACGGGCACAAGTACACACCCTCCCTCCACATGACCCTGACAACCAAGGCTGTCCAATGGCAACAATACAGGAAGGAAAAGGGGACTATGGGGAGAACAGAGGGTGACCAAACAAACTACTATAACATAACCATACATCAACAAAAACTTCTCCTAACATACACACAATATTAATCTCTTAATTGTGAGAGCCAATCATCACATTATCCATTCATAACACTGAAGCTTTTCGTGTTTCATGGCAAAATATATTCTGGCATAAGGCAAAATGATTTACAGAAATGTGTGCATTTCCTTTCAACACTGGCTTTCCATCTTGTTCTAACTTTTTTATATATATTATTCATCATTCAGACAAAAATAAGCATAAATCACAAGTAAGCATACATTTACAAGAGGAGAGAAAATTAACCAAGAAGTTGCTGTGAGAAAGTACAAGCCACCCAACCTTGTCGTCATCTGCTTTCAAGAGTGGGAAAAACCAAGTGGAAAAGGAATGGCAAAGGAAGACGTGGTATTGTGACACTACTCTTATTTAATAACATCCAGTGACACACACTCAGAACACCCTCCTATTCTCCTTAACTTTCAGTTTTCCTTCATCATGTACCTTCATAATTATTTCCTATTTCATTTTTATCTCTGATAAACTTGTTAGCTTGCCAGGATCTGAAGCATGGTAGCCACTCAAAAAACGCTGATGAATTTTGGCTAGCCAAATATGCAGAGGAAAAAGTGTAAATGCATTTTTTCTGGATAAGATCTCAAGTTGTGTTTGCTCTGTAAAAAGAGAATGGTGTGATAGGATTTTTTCAGTGCACTAATTCTGAGCAGAAAGCAGGCAAGAGAAGGCATTAAATCTTGTCTTTTTCTGAGAATATGTGTGAAAAAGTTCCAGAAAATACTTCAAGGAGTGTGATAAATAGATAGATAAACATCAACAATAGTAGTGCCATATCTTAGAGAATCTATATCAATTACAATGACAAAAAAGAGGAAAAGTATCATCAGCAATATTAATCTATACTTTTTCAGGTCTGAAAAACTAATTCACCTGCAAAATTAGGGTTATTGAGGAAGATTTGCTTTACAGACGTTGTAACACTAAGCTCTACACCTGAAATCAGCATCTCTATATGAGCACCAAAAAAAAGTTAATATAATAGAATCATTTTCCAATACATTCAGAACTCACAAAAAAGTCTATGTAGTGAAAAAAGTATTTTCTACAAGTTTTTACTCCAGGAAGAGTAAAGATAAGTTCAATAAGCTCTTGTTCCATCATAAATTTCCTCAGTTAATTATTACAGCTCGTGATTCTAAAACAATAACCTGAATTAGAGCACACATATTTAACTGTAGCCTTTTGCTGTGATCTTACATATAAAATTAAAAGGACCATATAGGGAGTACTACAAAGCTTTATTTCAATACCAGCCCCTGAAACAAAAAAATTAAAATGTTACTGCACAGGGAAGCTAATGATGCCTGCACCATATAAAGTGTGCAGTCCCCAACTCTCGCTCAGTTCCTGTGCACTGAAATAAAGATGAATTCTGAATTCAGAACAGGGAAGACAATTAACTAAAAAAGAGTATTTCACATCTAAATTAAGAACTTACAAAAAAAAGCTAACCACCCCTTTTTTAAGCTAAGACAAGGAGGCAGCATAGTGGTTACAAACCAGAAAGGAGGGCTGAAAGTCCTCACTATCTGTTCTCAGATGTCACCACTTTGCATGTACTCTGTAATGATGTAAGAATGATCTTTTAGGAAAGAGGTCACAGTATTTTTAAGGGGAGACTCCTTACAGAGAGATCAAGTTTACATAATTCTGTTAATCCTCCCACCCATACCAGTAACTATGCATCCGATTGTGGCGCCTCCACAATCACTTTCAAGACAGTTGGGCAGTTTAAACCAAACTCGTTGCTGGTGGAATTTCGTAATAATGACTACCAGAGAGGCAACAAACTTGCTATAGTCTATAAACTGAAGGAAACGTCATGAGTTCAAATATAAACACCGCAGTCAATCTGTAAGAATTTATAAAAAGATGGTGTCTTGTTGATAGGCTTAAGTGAGCACTCACAACTACTGTATGTATCAATTGGACAGACTTTTTTCAACTGTTATCCCCTGATATATAAGTAATTAATCACAGTTTCTTATTTTCACCTATTCTTATAAATTAATTAGAATACTACACATAGAAATTTTACAAGTTAGAAATATTTAAGAATACATCTTACAGGGCTTTAATCATTTCTTCTTGCATCTTCTGTAGTGAATCAAGTAACAGAGGAAGTGTAGTATCATAATATTGGTGCTGATGTAATTGTGCTCCTTTCAGCGCCAACACATACTGGTTATGCAACATATGGAGTTTCATAGTGGCTTTTTCACACCGATCTTTGGCTTTCTCTGTCTCCTTTCCTGAGAGAAAACAAAACAAAAATGGTGATTTAAAAAGTATACAGGCCTACAGATGACACATCTGGTAAATTTATGTCAGGTTTGCCTCTTGATCTGCAGTAATTTCCAAGGTACTTCTATGAGGAAGGCAAAATCCAACCACTTCCAGATAATTAGTATGATCAAATGTCTAGGTTTTATAGTTAATAAACTTCATAAGAAAAAAGGTTATTTTCTTTGAGCAGAAACGTGAGAATTTCTTATCTAAAAGTATATAAAAACCACAAGTATAAAAATAATACAATATCAACAACAAAGAAATCTCGTATTTCTATCTCAAAGCTTTTCTTTTATTTGCAAAATCATATTTTTAGAAGAGAAAGTGATGTCCTCCCATACTAGATGCACTAAAAATACATTATTTTTTTGTATTCAAGCATTCCTATTGCTACCTATAATCCTAATAAAGCAATGATGCAGTCAGTCCACATGAGCAGCTGAAGCCTCACACTGTTACTCCTGCTCAAAATGCCCAGCTTCTCTCCTACACCCTAACATTCCCCTATCCTGATCAAGATTGGCTCTACAGCCCCAGCTTTGCACCACTGAGACTGGAATTCCTCAAGTTCAAGCTGACAGGACCAGCTGAGAGTTGAATTGCAGAGCTACAAGGTATTTCATGAGGTCACCTATTCCATTCTTTGCCACAGCAACTGCACAGCTACGTGAAGTATGTTATCAACACTTTTTCCACCACAAATCCAAAATGCAGCCCCGCAACAGCTACTGTGAAGAAAATAACCATAACCACAACACACACATAAGCTTTTAATGACATCCTTGCTGTCTTCTTGATATTTACCAAGTATCTCATTACTTTTTCAGGAACTAAGACTATTTTAAATTATTCTCATATCTGCAAATATCAAGCACAGAGTCACAAGTACCTGCACAGATAAATATATACTACCTCAAGCAATCTCATTCAGACTACTGCACTTCTTAGAAACTTAAAATAATTTATGTAAGTAAAAACACGTCTACTACCCATCACAAAGTAGCTGAGAAAAAAGAAAATGTAAGCATTCACAGCTAAGTGGCAAAACAGCTGCTTGAAAGCAGACCTTGAAGAGCTGTGTCATATAAGGAATACACAAGGGACTGTGAACTCAAATAAATCAAAACAGAGCAACATTAAAGGCACACTAAAAAGAAGTTGAGGGAAAACCAGTAACAAATCCTCTTTCATATACATTGGAGTCAGCAACCTTGTCAGAAAAAGTAAACAACAGTCACCATATAAAAGGAGCTGGTACAAGAAAAGATTTTTTTTTTGCTTCTGTGATCACTACCTCAGACCTTCAGAGATTTCCAGGATGAAATATTACTTCGTGAAAGAGTCAAAGAACCTCTTTTTTCTAAGCTGTCAGAAAAAGAGGCTGTTCAGAATAAATGAAATGAGAACAAATTATGAGAACTGGATGGTGCTTAGCTTGGAAACTTCAAAGGTACTTGAGAAAGTTTTAGCTAAAATATTATGATTAGATTATACAGGAGGAAGTAGGAACTCAATGGAGTGTCCCAGGAACATCAGTTGGACTCTGATAGATGAGGTGATGAAGACGATGATGATGATGCTGTCTGAAAGTAGCCATCAGGGAAACCAAATGTGAAGAACTGGAATAAAAGCTGTCATAGTTTGACACTGGCCAAATGCCAAGCACCCATGAAAGCTGCTCCCCCAACCTCCCCTGCCACAGCTGGACAGATGGAAAATAATTTAATGAATAACAGAGATGGGCGGAGAGAAAATAAGTTAAGGAAGGGTTCTTGATTAAGAAAGGGGAGAAAACACTCCAAGGGCAAAACATGTTCAACTTAAAGGTACAAGGCGAATTTATTACTAACAAAATCAGGGGAGGATAATGAGAAGTCAAATAAGCCCTTAAATACACCTCCGTTCCCCCACTCCCTCCCTCTTTCCCTCCAACAGCACAGGGAGACAGGGTGTGGGGGTTTTGGTCAGTCCATCACCTGAGGGGTTCTTCCACTCCTCCAGGAGAGGAGTTCTTCCCCTGTGAGGCCATGGTGTCCCTCCCATAGGAGACAGCTCTCCATGAACTTCACTGGTGTGGGTCCACTCTCACAAAAAACAGCCAAACCCCACCTGCTGCACCATGAACGGTCACCATGGGCAGACACTCCTCCCAAAACTGCCGTGGCATGGATCACTCCAGGGGGTGCACTCCTCCAAGGACCGGCTGCTCCAGCCTGGAAGCAAGGGCCCTCTCTCCACTGGGTCTCTCCCTGGGTCACAGCCTCCTCCAGGCATCCATCTGCCCCAGCATGGGCAGCTCCCCCATGGGCTGCAGGTGGATCTCTGCATTCCCTGTGCACCCATGGGCTGCAGGGGCACAGCTGCTTCACCATGGTCTTCACCACAGCCTGCAGAGGAATCTCAGCTCCAGTGCCTGGAGCAGCTCCACCTCCTCCATCTCCATTGACCTTGGTGTCTCCATGTTGTTTTGCCTTCTCCTCTTCTCTGGATAGGAAAAAACTGCGTCCCCTTTGTTTTGATTTTCCTCTTAAATATGTCATCACAGAGTTGTTACCAACCTCTCTAATTGGCCCAGCTTTGGTCAGCAGCATGTCCATCCTCAGAGCTGTCAGGGATTGATTCTGCCGGATATGGTGGAAGCTTCTGGCAGCTTCTCACAGAAGCCACGTCTCTAGACCCCCACTACCAAAAACCAGGCCATGCAAAACCAACACAAAAAGGTACTGAGAGGTACCTTGAGAGGCACTGATTAAAACAACAATAAATTATAGAGTGAATATTTAGAGAGGTGCACATGGGTAAAGAACTATTCCAGTTTAGTAATCCAAATGCACACAGAAATGAGATCTTGGGGTCAGTACAGCAAGGTTGACAGAAATATGAACTCAGTGTTCACCAGTTGCTGAACACAATGCTATTTAGCAAAGGAGTAGACTGGGTTGTTATGCTACTGATCAAATCCACTTAAAAGTGTGAAATCTGTTGACCTCAAGAAGAATATATCTGATGTGCAAAAGGTTTAGAAAAGGGCATTAGCACCAGAAAGGTGGGAAAGAAGACAAACACAGGAAGAGTTACTACAGTGAAGGGTCCTGAAGCACCAGGAGTCTGAGGAGGAATGTGTAAGAACAGACACAGTTAACAGATCTGCACAACGACTTTCAATGTAAAAACCGTACATTTTATGACATTATATGGAAAGAGTAAAAAAAAAAGACCTTCTTCAATAAGCACACAGCTGACCTATGTTTTCTTCTGGTAAAAGTTATCATCAGCAAAAAAAAAAAGAAATTTACATGGTTTAACAGTGAAGGGACAAGTATATGCAAAATAAAAATAAAGGGAAAAAAAATCCTGAAGAGTTACTAAGAACTAGGACAGCACTTCTGACTCGGAACTCCCTAGGTAACAAATTACCATGAAGCCAAAGCACATTTCTATCAGTTTGTACTCTCCTATGGCACTTGCTACTTCACACCACTGTCAGCTGCATTTCAAACACAGATTAATAAAAATCACTTTAAAAGGATATTATGTCTTTCATTTAATTGAAAACAATCCAACTGCTGACCTAATTTTGTACATGGAAGGTACAGATTTCTTACATTACAATTTGTCTGAATTACTGTGTACAACAAAGACAAAGCACATCTCCAAAGCTGTCACCAGAGAGGAATTTTTCATGTAGGTATGAATAAAACAATCCACTTTAAAAATTTTTGTAGAACTGTTTTGGAGAGATAACATTCACAAGGCTATCTTAAACTTTAGCCAGACATAGCAGGTTTTGTCTGTGGCATATCATCTAAACTTATGTTTAGATGATATGGAGACTAATTCCCCCCAAAAAAGAAAACCCACAGTATTTATCAGTATTTATTTCTAAATCAAATATAGACAATTTATAAGGGAAAAAAATAATCCAACACATGACAATAACATCCCAGAAGTTAAATATCCCCAAATATGCATGTCTGACATCAGCACAACAATGTAACAAGAGGGAAAAATCCTATTTTCCTATCTGCCTTAGGAACTAAATTCCTCCTGTATGTACATTATTCCTGACCAGAAAACCTCAACTAATTTCAGAGTATCATACATACTTTTTTCAAATACAGTAGGTTACAGAGTCAACCTGGTCATCTTCAGAGTAAAACATAAACACCATAAGGTCTTTCTGGAGAAGGAAAGGTATGTGGAGCATTGGGAAATACTGGAAGGTGACTGAAGAGAGTTTGGAAGGGAAAGGAACAGGTCATGTACAGGTCATGTACATTAGAGGATGAAGACTGGATGAAAAAGGAGAGGACAAAGCTATTGGAAGCCAAGGCTGAAATGTTTTGCTTGCCAGTCCATGCTGTTCAGGAAGCCAGAAGAGTCAGGCATGGTGGCAGCAGAGGCAAAAATGCTGCAGCATTTCTTGGGTTATTCTGTGTTTGCCTGTTCATACTCAAGCATCCCCTGGGTCAAATATTCTAAAATAATCTCCATATGTCGTAGTTTAAGAGCTACAAGTTGTCTATGCATGTGTTTAAAAGACCTTCCTTATCAGTCTTCAGCTTATGAAACATTAGCACATCTGAAATCATACCATGTACCATCAGGCTCGTGACCTGTGAATTGCAGCAAACCACCTTCAACAGCTAAACTAAACTGAAAATTTACACTAAAATTATCAAATAACTCACAATTTAGTAATACTACATCTCCTTCAGAATAACTCATTAGCATCTAAACTATCTGATTTTTCCATCTGTTTCAAGGACTAAACACTTTTGCTACACATTATTCCTCCAAAGAACACCTCAACTAATTGTGACATAAATCAAATTATCATATTCATTCAACTTTAAATTAGAGCCTTGGATGTATATTTAATTCAGGGAACATAGTTACAGTATTATTTTCATATTGTAATTTATTTTTTAAAGTAGCAAAATGCAGTGAAGCAGCATACACA